GATGCTCTACTGCAAATACCGAAGTGATGATCACACTCTCTTTCCCACATAAGTATACAGCAGTTCCATGTATTTAGCCTAATAAATGCCCATAGTGCATTGAAGAGGAACTATTCAATTTTCAGAAAGAGGGTCAGTCTTGGAGTTGGTATCAGATCAGATATATTTATTAAGCAGTAAGGGACAAGCAGGGTGCTCAGTTACAGCACATTGTTCCTTCAACTTCAGAAGCAGTTGCACAAGATGCCAGGAATCAAGCCCACTCATCATTTTCATTTAGTGACTGATATAGTCAGACTGGAATTTTTCAGACTTATATACTAAATGTGAAACTGGAAGCTGGGTTGTGCTGCCTTTGTTGCCAGTGGAGGGAAGGGAAAAGTGTTCGAGTGGCAGTTGGGTCCAACACCAGTTAGCTAGTCAGAAAGTAGAGAACAGGAGTGAAGCTGAGAAGAAACAGCATGCAAACAGCTGCAGTGTGAGATAGAATAAGCAAGTGTCAGTGGTGTTAGATGGTAGAACTGTATGAACACTTTCACACTCAAAGCAAAATTGTCAAGTTATCATGTCCAATTGGGCATGGATTTCTTATTATATCACTGCAGTACCACAAGCTGTACTGGTTGCAGAGTCACACAACCCTTAATTAAAGAGGCAGGGGAGAAAAAAAGGAAATTAATAAAATTGTTGCTCTTATTTGAGAACTTTGAAGAAGAATATTACACTGTACTATAAACCTATGCTGAACAAAACCATGTAAGCATATGCTTATGACCCAGTAAAGTCATGCTTAAGTGCTTTGCTTAATTTAAGCTTGAAAGCTTCAACCATTTAAACTAAAGATGCTTTGATATAGTATCTTTTTTTTTTCTTTTCATTTTGTCTGAATATTCAACTTGTTTCTGAGTCAGCACTGGCCAAGCAAGTTTTTCTGTGTATCTTACAAGTTGTGAAGATATTCAGGCTTTTGGGGGCACTTGAGCAGTAGCTCATAGCATGATCAGAGAAAGATCTAATGATTACAGGCACTTTTAGGGAGCCAACCTTTATTAACTTCACAGGGGTTTTTTTGGCATATTAACCAAATTTTATTAAAAATCAGAACCTTTAACCTACTATTTGGAGATTAACTGGACAACATATTTTACCCCAGCCCACCGGTATTTCTGCTCTTGCTTGACTTGTGTACATCAGACATTTTCTAACAGAGTGAGATTAACTTACTTGAACATTGTGAGGTAGTATTAAAAGTGTTTCAGTGAAATTTTGTGACTATATCTTTACAATGTCAGTTCAGTTAAACTGCCTTTCAAACAAGCCACAACTGAAAACAAGCATGACCAGCTCTAGATCCATTCTCTATGAAGATTCCTCCAGTTTAGGATTTGTTCTCTACAGTCCTTCACCATAAGTATTTCAGCATATTTAGCACGTCCCCCCCTCCTCCTTTTTTCTTGCAACTGTTTGTGGAGGACAGCTGGGGTTTCAAGACTAGATATTCCCATCTTGCTTTGTAGATGAGTGGCCTTTCATATGAACAAATGTAGAAGCCCACTGGCAACAACACACCCACAACTTGTTGTAGATATTTATGTTATTTTATGAAATAGCTAAAGCCAGCAAATAAATCGTAGCTATCAAAGCAAATAGAACCCAGGAAACTCCTGTGCCCAAGACGGTGCCCAGATCACTAAATATTACCTTGAATTAGATGTGATGGATAAAAAAGTAAGGAAAGTTTGGGAACATAATTCATGCTTTCAAGACACCAAGGAAGTGACCAGTAGTTGCAGTAGCCTATAAGAGGTATCAGCAGAAAAGGCACTGTAGGTATTACTATACAAATGAGCACACCATGAAGTCCATTGGTTTCACACATTGCCAGGTATTCTGGTACTGCTTCTCCAGCCTTTAATGTTGAAATAGGGTGCTGCACTATTAATATTAAATAATAAAATTCCCTTGGATAAATTTTGAACCTGGTCTAAGTGCTTTGAAGCCAATGTATTTATGACAAGAATAACTTTTACTGATTATTTCTTTACTAATTTTTTTCTGTGACTGATAGTTCCACTTTTGAATGGGATAAGTATGGAAACAGATTTATCACCACGTTAAGAATGGGACTAATTATTTCTAAACCAATATACAAGTCATGGCTATTACAGAAAAACTCAGTACTGGCTACACTGAACTTGAGCCACAGATAACTAGAGAACAGGATATTTCTCAGATCTCCTGGGTATTCAAATCAAAACATAATGCAAGTTTCACTCTGTTTAAAATAACTCTGACTGGAAATTCTCCATACAGCACAGATTTGCATGCTAGATGTAAATTTTCTAGGATATATTCCCAGAAATCTGCATTTAGATAGAAGCATTTTAGAAAGTATAAACCCTGAGATTTTACATGCATCCTGGTCTTTATTTTACATTTTCATTTCTCCATGTGAGCTGATAGGTGAAAAAAGGAAGGGGGGGTTTATCTGAGTTTTAGATATAGAGAATCCAGCACAAATTCTAGTGTATCAGGAAGACTGCAAAAAAAAAAAAAAAAACAAACCAAAACCCAAACCTTCTTCAAATCCTGAGCCCAAACAAAATAAACTTTAGGGATCCATCAGCCAAATAGTTGACAGATCTTCCTGAGGACCCCATTCACTGAGCCTTAAACAATTTGAACTTGGAGTTTTCTTTCATCCTTTAAAAAATCCAAAATGCAACAGTCTGGGAGATGTTTAGTTAATACACTTGTCTTTTGTATTCAAACTCTTACTATTTGTCGCTTACACTTTTACACACATTTGGAGAGCTACATACCTGTCTGCATAACTAGGCAGCAACACATTTTTGAATTCAAGAAAGA